CTGGATTCAATATCACATCAGAAAAATCATGCACCATGATCAAGTAGGCTTCATCCCAGGAATGCAGGGATGGTTCAACATTAGAAAATTTATCAATGTAATTCACCATAAACAAACTGCAAAAGAAAAACCACATGATCATCTCACTAGATGCTGAAAAAGCCTTTGACAAAATCCAGCACCTCTTCATGATAAAGGTTCTAGGAACATACCTGAACATAATAAAGGCAATATACAGTAAACCAACAGCTAACATCAAATTAAATGGAGAGAAACTCAATGCAATTCCTATAAAATCAGGAACAAGACAAGGCTGTCCACTCTCTCCATATCTCTTAAATATTGTACTTGAAGTTCTAGGTAGAGCAATAAGAGAACAAAAGGAGATCAAGGGGATACAAATAGGAAAAGAAGAAGTCAAGCTTTCATTATTTGCAGATGATATGATAGTTTACATAAGTGACCCGAAAAACTCTGCAAGGGAACTCCTAGAGCTGATAAACACCTTCAGCAAAGTAGCAAGATACAAGGTTAACTCAAAAAAAAAAATCAGTGGCCCTTTTAAGAGTTTTAAATAACTAAAAATATGTTTTTATAGAAAGTGGACTACATATTATTCATTGCTTCCTTCCTGCCAGTATCTGTAAATGAGGATATAACCAAGTAATACAAGCTACAAAGTAGTCCAAAAAAGAAAAGTTACATCATGAAAAAATTCTTTACTTAAGAAATCATACCCCACAGGGTAGAGAAAATACTGCAATGTGACCATGGAAAGCTAACCCTGGAACTGAAGGTGAGCAAATCTACTGGTAATTTCCACAACAATAAGAGGAAAATACACACAATCACTGAAGCAGGTACAGAAACATTAAAATCCAACTTCCTTTAAAAATACATAAAAATACTAATATTGAACCTCTAGTAAAAGTTAAATACTTAAATATAATTTTAAACATTTTTCATTAATCCAGACCAAATATAGGGTAGTTATTATAGTTTACTGACAGCCTCAGACAAAGCAATATGACAGGAAAAATAAGTAAAGTGCTTGAAGACTTCAATTTCATGTTTTAAGTTGATTCTATAAAAATCCAAAAAGCAGTTAAAGAATATAACATTAGCATGTTCAGCATTCCAGATTACTATATGAACTATCCTGCTAAGGTTATTTATTTTAACCAACATAGCAACATCTACTTAATAGAATACTTATTCTATTATCCAGTCCTGAAAAGCAATGAATGAATATTGTTATTACACATTCATATGCCTTTATGGTGCTTTTGTCTAAACTGACGTACCTGAAATAAAGATTGCTTGTCACTATTGCACAAGTAAAAACAATTATAAGATAATTCTCTGGGACAAGTCAGTAACATCTGTGAAAACCTCCCTTGCTATTAAGTGTGAAAGGAAGAAAAAAACCGGTTGTGATGATAATTACAATGATGTGGGGAAAGAAGAGGGGAGGAAGAAAATGAAGCAGTGTCTGTTATTAACTGATTAGTTATGTGCCATCAAAATCCACATAATGAAGCATAAGTCCCAGTGTGACGGTATTTTGGATAGATGGATGGATTGATGCACCAACAAAGGAGCTACCCGGAATGATGGTGGGGCATTCATGATAGGAGTAATAGTATAAGGGGGGTAGGGGAAGGAGAGAGGGCAATATGAGGGAGGGAGAACAGAGGCAGGGAAGGGAAAGGAATGGAATGGAAGAGAAGGACAGAAACTGTTGCTCTGTATTTTGTGTGACACAGTGAGAAGGAGGCCATCTACAACCAGGAAGGGAGCCTTCATGAGGACAGGGATTGTTGGGATCTTATTCTTAGAGGCATGTCCTAGCATATCCAACAGTAAGAAATACATTTATGCTTCTAGCCAATTGATTTATGCTATTTGTTTTTTTCCCTCAATATATGTTTTTATTTAAATTAGAAACATGAATGTTTCACATGTCAGTCCCAGTTCCCTCTCACACCCCTCTTCCCTTGTCCATCCACCAGTCCCCCAGATCCCTAACCATCCCCACATCATTCCCCAGGGAGGGTGAGACCCTCCTTGGGGGGATCTCTAAAGTCTGTCATTTCATCCTGGGCAGAACCTAGACCCTTCCCCATGTGTCCATGCTGAGAGAGCATTCCTCTATTTGGAATGGGCTCCCAAAGCTCATTCATAAACCATGGTGAACACTGATCTACTAACCAAGGCCCCAATGATTTCTTTAGCCTCCTCCCTGGCACTACATTCATAGAGTCTGGATCAGTCTCCTGTTGGTCTCTCAGCCATCAGTCTGGGATTCAAGAGCTCCTCCTTATCCGGTCAGCTCTTTGTGGGTTTCATCATCATGGTCTTGACCCCTTTGCTCATCACTCCTCCATCTCTGTCACAGGTTCCAGGAGTTCAGTTCAGTGTTTAGCTGTGGGTATTTGTCTCTGCTTACATCAATTCCTGGATGAAGGTTCTAGGATGGCATATAAGGTAGTCATCAACCTTAACATCAAGGAGGGGCAATTAATGTAGTCTCTCCACTATTGCTTAGTTTGCCGGTTGGTGTTATCCTTGTAGATCTCTGGAGATCTCACTAGAGTAAGTTTACTCCTTAAGCCTATAATGACTCGATCTATTATGGTATCTCTCATCCTGCTCTCCTCTATTATTACCTCAACTCAACCTTCCTGCTCCCCCATGCCTTTTTCCCCCTCCTCTTATCACCCTCTGTGTTTCTTGGTTCCCTCTCCTGACTCCCGATGTTCCCAATGTGCTCAGGAGATCTTGCCTCATCCCACTTCTCTGGGGTATCTTACATCTCCATACCACCCTGAACGCGCCTGATCTCGTCTGATCTATGCTATTTGTAAGAGCAGCTCAAGCTGACGAAAAAAATATGTGTGGTGAGGAAATAATTACAACAGTTGAGGGATGGAAAGAGGACAGAGAAGAAAAAAAATGAGATGAGGATGAAAATCGAAGGGAGACAATGATAAAGAGTAAACTGCCAACTTCCATGGAACAGTTGATATATGCCAAGCTCTAGGCTATGGATTTAATTTGCCTTCCTTAAGTTAACCTATATAGCTATGTAGTGCCATACTATACATTTTAGGAGAGGAAACTGAGGCTCGGGTAGGTGAACTGAATAGTCTAAGGTCAGGTAAGGAGGAAGTGTCACAGTGAGAACTTAGGTCCGCCTTTACAGACTCCAAGATCTCAGCAATGGGTGACACTCCTCCAATATATTTTTTGTTACTGATGTAGATTCTTAGCAGATGAGGATGAGGAGGCTATAACAAGGTCACCTTCACATTCCAGTCCAGGTCCAAATCCTTAGTGTCCTGAAAAACCTTTTCTACATTAAAGTTAAGAGAGAAAAATTTATCTAAGATAAAATTTTAAGGCATTAAGCATTTAAGAGTACAAGTTTAATGGAATGGCTACTTATGAAGCAGAAATATAATTTGTCAGTTTCTATTGCAAAAACATTTGAATTCTAGGACACACATCCTACCTTCTCTCCACACAGCAGTTTCTCAACACCTGTTCCCTTTCCTATTTGCTTTTTTGTCTATTATTCCTAGACTGGGAAGCATAAAAAACAAGGTTTACATGAAGTTTCGGGTAATAAAATAAACTGTCTCCAAAATATTTGTGTTTCAAATAAACATCAAATGCAAAATTTATAGTTCATCCTGGAGTTCTGACAGCCTAGGAGCTGCATGTGGATTCCATTTATGCCCTATGCTTCACGGGTACCAGACAAATGCCACCACAAAACACGATTAGGTAGGCACAGTGATGTCTCCAACAAATCACTGCCTGCACAGAGAAGCCAAGGGCAGCCTGATTTGCAAACCCATATAGATTTCAAGTACTGAAAGAAATCTTTTAATCCCCTTGCATGCAGCTGAGAAGACGCCAGGAGAGAGGAACTGAAAACAGGGGATGACATGTATGTAAGTATGTATACACACACACACACACACATACCCCCCCCACAATATACACATATAACACATACAACACAAACATGCATACACACACATACACACAGGAAGATACACATAGACCACACCTACACCTGCACATATCTCACACACACGCATCCCCCCCACACACACAGCATGAACATACTTCCAACCATCAAAGGGCACACAGTTAACAAAAGGATTATTGATAAAGCCATGTTCCCTCAAAACGTGGCCAGCAACAGATTTATCTTTGTAAACAACTCTGGACATGTCAAATTTTCATCATCAGTTGCCTGTGGACCTCCTACCAAGTACTTTCCATGTGCTGAAAGGCCTGGGGAGAACATGGTGTATATATAGCTCTATGAGCTGCTACTCAAGATGACTCAAAGCGCATAAGGCATTTTAGATAAAGTGAGACAGTACCAAGGCACAACTGAAGCAAAACAAACAAGCTGCCATCTCCAACAGGGAATGAGAAAAGCCTCTCACAGGAGGATGCAGGAAACCCAGCCTGGACAATGGGCACTGGTATGTGTAAGAAAGGCAAGGTGCAAGAACAGGCTTTCCGTTGATGGCTCCCTGGTTCTTAGTGTGGCTTCCAGACAAGCATTGCCTAGGAACTCATTAGCAGTGTAGTCTGTGGATGCCAGGCACTTCCTGAGGACGGATTCCACAGTCTGCCCTAATCAACCCTCTGGAGCCTTTTGAGGTCAGCGTTTGAGAACCACAGTGATATGCAAAAGAGAAAATCAACAGGCAGAAAGTCTGTAGTGGGAACAGAGTTGGCTCCTGGGGACAAAAGGGTTAATCTTGATGGAGAAATGGCTAGAAGACATACCCAGGCATTGGGTATTCTAAAAACAACTTGGGATTTTACCTGGAAAATACCAGCCATCAAAATATGAGCACAAAATAACCATAAAAACAACACCTGTTGCATAGCTATGCCTTTGTATCATTCTAAAGTTAACGTTATCACTACACAGAAAAGCAGCCTTACAAAGGGTGCAAAGTTAGCCTTACCTTTCTTCCTGGAGTCTTTCTTGGTGCTGGTTTTCACAGCTGCTTGAAGTTCTGTCTCAGTTGACATCCTACTTAATCCTTAGTCCTCTTCACACAGACCCCGGGCCTTGGCCAGGCTCATCGAGGATCCTCTCCAAGAGAAAGGCTCCTCCCTTCAGAAAGGACACCCCACACCGTGCATGTCATTCACTCTTTTGGAGTGCTGCAAAACAAAGCAAGAATATTCAGAATCATGGTCCTGCTGGAGCTGAATGGAAATTTAAGGAAATGAACCAGCAAACACCCAACAGCAAGAACATCTTGGTGTTTGTGGACAAATTTGTGCATCTGAGTTCATAAAGCCATGGAAGGGGTTTATATCACAAATGAGAATAAGAAAATTCTTTGCCAAACACATTAGTAGGCTAAGGAATTTGAATTTTCAAAAACAGCAAACCCCAGCTCTTGGTTGCCCATGTTCCTGATGGCCAAGCACTAGTGCCACCCAGAAAATGTCACAAAGACATATTTCCTGACCAGCCCCGTGGAGACATTTTCAACAATGGGCCATCCATCCATCAGCCAAGCTTGATCAGAGCCTGGGCAGCTAAGGCAGATCATAGGGGAATGACCTGCAGGCTGTCCCTCACTGGCGGGCATCAGTAGGGACATAGAGTTGACATGCAATTGGGCTCCAAGGATAAGGTGACAAATGGGGCTGAGAAACTTTGCAGCAAGCCAATTTTTATGTCAGCTTTTCCCCTAGCTATAAGAGCAGACAAGCATTTAACGTGGGGAAAGAAAGGGAAAGACATGGTGGAAGGAGACACACATTTTGTTCACTCTGTCTCTCCGAAGGGAGTATTGCACAATACTGAGTACTAGGAGGAATGGATGCTGTTAGGAGGAGAGTGATGATGACCAGGACAACACAGACACTTCAATTACAGTTAGCATTTACTATGCACTTACTAGATACATTCAATACTCTGACCTCAATGCTGCACATGCACTGTCACCTTGGATCTCATTTAAATTGAATAAACGCACTGCCTTTGTCAATAGTTTCCTTCCCAGCCCCATCTGACAGTTGTAGCTGAGAATCCACTGAGAATAGACATCTCACTAGTTATCCACTTTCAATAATATCAAGAAAAAAAAAGCTACTAGAAATGGTTCTTGAAACAGTGTGGCCAATTTTTAGCTCATTCCACAGAATTAGAACTGTTTAATCTAAGAGTGCTGGCCTTGAAAGCCAGTTGCAGCTCAGAAAGACTAATGACCTACCCCTGTTAATCATGACAATTAAAGATGGCTTAACTATAAGGCGTAATATGAAAGGCATATAAAATTACATTAAAGCTTAATTGTGAGGCAATGTCCACCTTTATCCAGAGATACCTGGTTAGATTGTTTAAAATAACCTAATTATGTTTTTTCAAAAGGCACTATCTCTGTATGTAAGCACTTGAATTAGAGGATCTAAGGTGACAAGGAAAAGAGATAGTTGCCTTTGTAGAATGGACTTTCTGACACCACACATTAAAAAATGAGACTGTCTTCACCATCTTTCTGGCATTATGGCATGCCAACTCCTTCTTTCTAAGGACACAGTGCACTGGGGACAGCAGAATCACAATTTTTGGTCACATATTGACATACTCTTAATACTTACCATTTTATTGCAATAAATAATTACTAGATTCTAGTATAGACCATGTGTAAACAAACACCATGCCACTCTGGTGGCCAGGAAGGAACCATCAAAGGCTTCCACTAGTTCACAAAGAAGAGAGACCTAGCAGAAGAATCAGTCCTGTGGAGGACACCAATCCATGTGCAAGACCAAAGTAGATACAACTGCCAGACATTCAGGGCACAGGAGCAATGTGTACTTTCCTTGCAAAACTGTTAAAGTTGCACATGGGACTAGCGCCATTCTGCACGATCCTGAAAAACCATGTTTTTACCGAATGGACATGCACAGTGGAAAGGACCTCCCCCCCAAGCCCATGTAGAACAAATACATAAGTGAATGGATATCATTTTATGGGGTCAAAGGCTTGTCATATGAATAGCAAAGAGACTGGAAAATAATAATCTAATGAATGAAAGGAAGCTCAAATCTGGGGGGTCCTTTTCCCACCCCTCCCTTTGCCTCTGCTTGCCATCGGGCCTCTGTTGTTGGGTCTGCCTTGACATTCATCCAACCGCTTGAGGCTCACTTCAAAAACGGCAGTCCAGTTGGAAAAAGTTCTGAGTTCCCTATTAAAATGGAGTCTGTCTCTTTCATCTAGACCATTTTTGGCTAGGTCCAGAGTCTCACCAGCTGCCCAGCTGTGGGACATTGAAGAAGTCACCGAGTTGTCCTTGCTTCAGCTTCTTTACCTGGAGATGGAGCTAACATTGCCAAATCAGTGGAGTTACAGTTGCAACTAAGTGGGGTCACACCTATCACAAGACAGAAAGATGGCCACGCACATGCCCTTATCAAGCACTTCATGAATATGATAAGGTCACAATTTCTTTTGTGGTTCGATCAAGACCTCGTGTCTGGTATGAGACCACATGTCCAAGGTAAACTGAGAAAGAACAAAGTATAGGAAGTGATAGGACATCAGAAATTGCCATCCTGCCCTGTATCCAGTAGGTGCCTAACCCCTAAATATAGAAAGAAGCTTACAGACATGGGTTTATACAATTTCAGAATATGTTAAAAGCTACTGTAAGAAAATGGATAGAATTTGGACTCTTTCCCCTCCCTCCATTTCAAAGGCCGGCATCTAGCACCTTCTCCATTTCCCCTGGGTATCTGGGGTGACTCTTGTGGCGAAATGTCAGCTGTGAGCATTCCTTGTGACTCTCTGAAGTGCTTCTCTGTATCAATGGCAGGAAACACCAGAGCCATTCTGAATGGAAACTTAAATAGGAAAGCTGCGGTGGTGAATGCACACAGCAAGGGCCTGCCATCCCCTTTAATTTTCCAAAAGCCAGAGGTTGAGCGAATTCTGTGAAGTAACTCCAAATTATTTAGGAAATTCATTTCTTTGTAATTAAGGAGATTAAAGTCCTTCGGGGCCAGAAACCATGTGACAACTCAAATCATTTCCCCCCAGTAAAAGCTGTGAAGCCCTATCAGTTAAATTCAGGCTCGTCTGGAATTTTGAAATGCTTCAATAATGTTTCTTTGCTCCACACAATCTGCAGTAATTTAATATTTCTGAAGTGTGTCAGGTTTTTTATAATGAGCTCTTCAAGTCGAAATGTGAATTATGTAACATTCCACTACAGACATTCTGTCTAGTGAACTGCTTCTGAAATGTAAAATCCCATGTTGGGGACGTGATGGGGTGGGGGACAATCACACCCTACCTCAAAGCTGAAGGAACAAATATGCCTCTGTTTGAAAAACAAAGCAGGGAGGTTTGGGTTAACTCTGACAGCACAAGCACAAGCTAAAACACATACCAAGATTCGAACTTATATTCTCTTTCCCCACCGTAGAGTCCTGTGGTAAGATAGGTATACATTTTTCAGACATTCCTTATTCAGTCAATCCATCAATATAAAAAGTTAGATATTATAGTTTTCTTTATCAAATGAGGAAACTGTGACACAGCCAGATGAGGAGCTTCTCCAGGGTCACATGGTGAGTTAGTGGCTTTCCACCCCAAAGGGCTTGTGACCCATAGGTTGAGAACCATGGGTATAGAACAAAGCACAAGCTAGCTTCGCCCCCATTCACCTCTCATTACTCAACCATGGAAGAATGAGTAAGGAACATGTAGTCTTTCTGCTCCCTGGGCTATTACTCAGCTGTCCAAATGGACGATGCAGCAGTGCCACAAGCTGTAACATGGAGGAACCTTGGAAACAATGGTCAAGTGAAGGAAGTCAGACAGAGAAAGGCTGCATAGTGTATGATTCCATTTCTAGGAAATGGTCAAGATTGGTCAATCTACCTAAGCAGATCAGTGATTATTATGGACGAATCCGGCAGTAAAAGAGACTACTTCATGGAAACAAAGTCCATTTAGGGGATGATGAAAACATTTTGGAACTAGATAGGGATGATGGCTGGTATTTTCAAATATACATCTGTGATAAGTATAATAAAAACATTTTAAAATGGTTGTTTATGCTATATAACTGGCACCTCGACTGAAAAAAAAATCACAATAATACTGCCACAGCTTGATACAAGTCTTATATGACATACCAAGAAGGGTACATATGCCCTTCTTAAAAAAAAAATAAGACAGTTAGTGCCTGGAAATTTGAAGACGTTATTCAAGACCAGGGTTTTGTATGTACAGCATTGAAGACTTAACCCAACTATCATTGTGGTCAGCATTGCAGGATAGCTTCCTTGGCGGTGTCCAAATTATAAGCATATAAAAGAGGTCATTTCAGCAAGGAATAAATGTTTGCAAGGTGCAGGGAAGCAGCCCTGGTTTCCTCAACAGTAAATTAAGAGCTGCACCACACTGTGAGGGATTTGAAAGTAAAAGACAGTGGGCCCATAACAAGGCCAGCTCAATCTGTGAAGCAAATCAACTTTTGTTGTTGTTCCAAGAAAGACCTAAGCCTGATGTCTTTTTAAAAAGGAACAGGGTAAATTAGCCAGAAGAAAGTGATGATTTCTATATGAGAGGGATTGGGAGGGGTGTGTGCAACAGCCAGGAAGCAGGTTGAAGTGATATGGCAGAGGGTGACCATTCTCATTCAATAGTTCTTTGCGGAATTTGCACACCCTTCTATACAGCTGAAAATCAACAGGGATGGAAATTGGGGGAAGACAAAAACATGAAGCATGTTACTTCCATTTTATGTTCCATGAGAATCAAAAGCCCCGTCAGGAAAGGACTGGGCAGGAAAGACAGATCAATCACTTAAGGAATCCGCAGTTGGACTGCATACACTCCATCTTGGGCAGGAAGGGTGTCCAAAATTTAAAAAAGTAAATGCCAAACATGTTTATCGGGTTCTTCAGCTTTCTGCAATGTGACAGGCTGAAGAATTTTGAAACTATTTCTGACACATTACAAGACCGAGCAAGGAAGGAATACGCTGGTGTCTTGGGGGTCAAGGTTCTCGGGGGGGAACAGGTGTTTGAGTATACAGAAAGGAAAGCAGGAAAATGCTAGGAGGCAGATTAGAAACTTGAGGTTTCAGGGGATGAAATCTAAATGTCATATATGTGCGTTTGAATTTCAAGGTGTA